TCCTAAGTTTTCATAGCCTCGATTCGAGTGATGGAAACCCGTAACTATAATCCATCATTCTAACAATACCCTACAAATTTGCCAAGTGTAAGTGTCATCAAAATACTGTAGGTAATAAAAGTTGAATCACTTGAAGGAGTGTCGACAAATTTGTTTATTTTAGTACTGCTATGCAAAAAACGATATTTCCTTTACTCTCAAAGTTATTCGACTTCATAGCACTAAAGACTTGGTATTTGCTTGCATTGTGAAGCAGCTATTCCATTTATTAAACACTCACGTCAACACTATATGTCCAAATACTTTATGCTCTTTGGTATCGTTCATATACTTCCTTTCAGCCCTCATCGTTGCCTTCATTTTCCATTCAATGGCGTTGTCTTTCAACCACCTATATGCATTTGCTTCTGGTTTCCTCTGCTCCGTCATTCTTTTCATCTTTTCCATAATTCGCTTCCCTGCAACATTATAGTCTTCTGATTTTTTGTACAACTGATTCATCTTTCGTACTATGGGTTTTCAAATAAATTCTACTTATAACTCTTTTAATCCTTACAACGTTGAAGTAAAATAGGGGGAAGGTAACTTCGATTCTGCCTTTCAGAATGTGCCGTAGTCTTCCATTTGTCCTTACCGGTCTCCTTGTCCTCTACTTGGCCTTCTCCCTCAATCGGTTCTTCTTCATCGTCACCCAGGACCGCGTCCTCTATGGGGTGATTTTTGATGCTGGAAGCACAGGGTCCAGAGCACGGGTCTATAAAATTCTTAAAAATGCGTCAGGTGGGTTTATTGGTTTTAGTCGTTAGGAGGATTATTTTTTGCATTGAGAATGTTCTGGATTTTTGGATTAACACTCAAGACAATTGCTGTTTTAAGAATATTTTAGGGCGTAGGTGTCTGAAAGGATTTTTTAAAGTCATTTAATATGCGAATCTTAATTGATCTAGATAACTAAGTAACTTTTTCGAAATGTATTAAATTGCTCTGATTTCAGATGTTTTGTCATTGGCGATTAGCACCACACTCCTATGTGAATTTGTTCCGTTGTCTTTCAAGGACAATCCGTCAATTTTTGTAGCAATGTAGTATGGGCTAGTTCAAGAATAAGAACGCTTTAACATTTTTGATGTCTGGATGGCTGATGGAAACACGATCTATTGAATTACCTTTTTATCCGAAATTTGCGCATGATGTTTACATAGCAAAAGTTTACAAAATTAATTTTAAACAAATATGATTCGAACAGGCATGAATTATGTTTCACGCATCCCTAGTTCATTGCCATATCCTGTTTTGCGAATCTCTTTACCTTTGCCCTGGCATAAAAATACTGTTTGGCAATCTGGCTGCCTCTCACGATGACGGATGTTGTAACAGTCTCTAAACTTGTTTGATTGACCACCATGTCTCATTTTCATGGTTGCCCATTAGCGTCAATGATTATCCGTTAAATCTACCTGTGGTAGCTCAGATCATACGATCAGGCACCATTTTTAATTAACCATCCAAAGCATCACATTCCATAGTACACTAATCCATCATATTCACGTAGTCATATTACTCATTATGAAGTCAGAAAGGTGTCGCTACCAGTTGGTGGGTGAGGAGGTCTTCACAGTAGAGCCAGGTCTTTCGGAGTTTGCGCGTTTCCCCCACGCTTCAGTGGCCTACTTGCGACCACTGTTGGATCAGGTGAGGACCTGTATTCCCGAGCATAAACGACCCCTCACTCCTCTGGTGTTGCGAGCCACTGCAGGTCTCCGACTTCTGCCCGAACAGGTCGCCAATGCCCTTCTTGAGTCTGTAAGTTGGCCTCTTGATACCTCTCCTCTTATTCCTATTCTTAACGTTATGCTCATTTTCATCTCTATTTAATCCCTGATCTAATTCAGAATTTACTAAAGATGCATTTGTTTGGAGGTAGCTTTGATTTTAACGCAGCTAGTAACTGAAAGCTAAATGTCACTGTTTTGGAACCCAAATCGGGAGTAGATGAAAGCGTTTTGCGTCTTGTTCCACAAGTCCTGTTGAGCTAAGTTTGAGGTTGTAAATGATCGAAGTTATGAGGGTCAACTCGGAGCAAAACGATCATTACTTGATTTAAATAACGGCTTTTGAAATCAGTCGATG